AAGAGAGAATCAGACGTGCGACAGTCAGACCTGGAGTCAGATATGCGGACGTCTCAAGCAAAAGACAATTCCCCGTCTTGCCACAGAAGGAGCCGACACTATCACAGGGGGAGCAGGCAATGTAACCACCGATGAACGAAACAACCATAGATAGCCTCCACCTAAGACTGGAGCGAACGGAACAACTACTAATGAAGCTCATAGAAACCAACACACAACGACAGACCAATGGCTAATCACGACCAAAAAAGAATACAGAACCTCAAAATCCTACACCTAAATGAACCAGGACTGAGAAATAAATTCATTGAAGTAAAAAAGCTGGCAGAAAAATACTGGCCAGCCATAATAGTGATAAACGAATGCAAAATCGACTTCGACAAGGTGAAGTTTAACATGAAAGGATACGATAAAATCACACACTCGCTTAAAACCCACTTAACCACGGCCATGTACATACAAAGGGGGCTAAGATGGACCGAAACAGAGGTCACACCGGGGTGGGGAGAAGAGAGAGGAAAAATTGAAGGCGTGGGCATCAAACTGTTCACAGACCACGCGGCCATACATACATATACTACATTTACATACATAAAAATAAAAGGGACCTACTTTCAAATCCCAAATCAACACCAAGCCAGAGAAGAGCTTGAAGAAACCTTGGCAGACGAACCAACGATCATAATAGGAGATCTGAATCTACAGATGCGCGCCCTGAACCAAAGAAGAGACGCAGGCCTAGGCATTGTAATCAGGAAAGCAATTAACGACGGCATCTGCTCGATAAAAAACGCCGGCGTGCCGTCGCGGCTGGCCAACCAAGGCAACGCAATCCTGGACATAGCCGTAATAACACACCAACAGATCGAGCCGCAAGCCAAGCAGTTAGAAAGCGTCGGATCAGACCATCTACCATGGCTACTCACTGTAAAAATCGAACACAACATAGAGTTAAACAAATCTCGCAACACGAGGAGGATATGCGAGGACGAGGGGGCGATGGAAGCATACCAACAAACCATGTGGGAAGGCTTCCACTACCTACACGGAGAAATAATCACGGAGGAAGACTGCGAAAGATACGTCGAAACCATGGAGAAATCCATTACAGCAGCCCTCGACGAACACGCACCTTTCAGAACAACAACGAGACGAAAACACCTACCACCGGAAATAAATGAAAAGATAGACTTCAGAAACAAGCTGAAACAAATTAAATGACAGGCAAGGCACTGCAGCCCCAACCTACAACGAGAGGCACGTGCCCTCTGCAACAAAGCCAAAAAAAGAAGCAGACCAAGCACTGAGAATATACTGAGAAGGGCTGGCTGGATAAGATCCAGGATACGAATGACAATAGGTCGCAAATGTGGCGCATCCAACGCAACATGAAGAAACCAATCATGAAATTACCAAACATAACGGGCTGCAAAACGGAAAAAGAGACGATCGACTCACTGACTGAGGCAGCAATAGTAAAAGAGGCAGTAATTGCGACGGAAGACGAGGCCACAGAGAAAACGACCCCGTTCCAGCCACTCGACCCAACATCAAAACACGAAGTCAAATTAGCACTGAGCAGGTTAAAAAACAAAAAGGCTCCCGGGCCAGATGGAATCAAGGCAGACGCCCTCAAACTCGGGGGAGTTTTTTTATACTAGTTGAGCCATGCTGCAGTTATAATAGTAGTATAGTTGTAGCACGAATCGGTCGACCGGGGAAGAACCACGCTCTCACAGAATACCACCGTGAAATAGCAGCTTAATGCTGCTGTGTTTCGTATGGTGAGTGTAGAGGACCGGAGACCCTTTTTACTGGAAACGAGGTATTCCATCTTAGTCCTCACAGGTGACAACGCATCTGCATTTTGGTTCGTAATCGTGGTTATATGTCTAGGGGCCACAGCAACCACTTACCATCAGGTGGACTGTATGCTCGTTTGTCAACCTATCCTATAAAAAAAGTTCCACAATCATTTATCTTTCTGAGAATGTGCGTTTTATATCATTTATATGTTCAATATGATTGTTAAATACGATTTCATGCTACAAAACGTTGGGTTCTTGATTTTTAGGCGCTAGTAGGACATACCTACGCGCTTTGCGCTTAAGGCAGGCAATTGTTCTATTTAAAAGTCAATGAGTAATTATAATTAATTTGTTAAAAATAATTTAGAAAAGTTTGCTGGTGAAATAAAAAAAAACAATGATTGTTTTATTTTTTTATACAATTATCTACCTTATATTTGGTTAACATTATATTAAAAAAAAGAAATTCCTAGGATAAATTGTCTATGTTGTTCCGGAACTAAAATAAATGAATCAACGCGGCGGTGGCAGGGCCCTCGCGCATTACTTCCACGCCAATGTTCCACGCAAAATGCCAGTGCGAGCAAACATTGTCTACCGGCCGTTGATTACCATAAACTTGATGTTTTTTTGGTGCTCCCTGAAAGTACATACTCGAATGAAAAACACACTGTCCATGACAGTAAACATTTTACTCCATGGGTTATAAATACTCGAAAATACAATTTTCTCTGGTCTGGTTCTTGGGGACAATTGTTTAATTTTATGGGTAGGCGCAATGATGTATAAATACGTCATTGGGTAGGCGCACTTTTTTGGAGATTAATTTAATTTTATATATTTTCTATTACAATCCAACATAAGATTGCAGGTTCAACTTATTCCCGCTAAAATGTTTTTGTATTAATAAAAAATAATTTATTTTGGAACTATCATGGTAAAAATCAGTTAATTTTTGAAGTTATTCAATTTCGTGTACTTAACTAATTTTGTTGAACCTTTTTACCGTTCCCTCAGCATTTCCAATTTGAGTACTGTGGTCGCACTGAAATCATTTATCGAAAGTTCATATAGTTGAAAAATACATTAGTTAGGTAATGCAATGACGAATTAAAATTTGTCACGCCTTTCGTGCTCTTAGGTTGTCTATACGCCAGTATATTCTAAGTCTGTGATCTGAACCTGCATGACTTTTGTTGGATTATAATGCAAAATGTAATGCTATATTTTCAAATTATGGCCCTTAGAGGAAAATTTTCACTATCATAAACATTTTTGTCTGGGATTTTTTTTATTGCAGAGAAGGCAAACGAGCATGCGGCTTACCTGATGGTAAGTTCAACCGCCGCCTATGGCGACAACTGCAACATCAGGGGAATCACAGATGCGTTGCCGGCTTTTTGATAAGAAGTGAGCTCGTTTCTTGATCGACATAATTTAGGAATCATGTTAAATCCGTTTGCTCGCTGTCATAAAGAAGTCGTACGAGGAAGAAAACTTCTTGTGAAACGCGGAGTAGTGGACCGCTAAGTATCCAGATGGTGGATAATATTGTAAATAATGTCGCGAAGTGTATTGGTGGCATTTTGCTGCTGGAATTAATCCTGCAATTCGTTAGAGCACTCTCCGTGTTAGATGCGATAGAAAATGCAAAAAGATGCAATGCGGTGCTAGTGAATCGAGCCGAGCAAAAAAAGGTCGTTGATGATTCGAGCAGCACTGCTCTGAATGCGGTTAAGTGGAAGAGGCTGGTACTGGGATGCCTCGGCCCAGAGATGAGAACACCCATCCATGTGAGGTCGAACCTACGCGTTATAAAGTTGCAAGTGCGCTAAGAAAGTATTTTGGAAACTCAATACCTGAAGAGGTGAAATAGGGTGTTACAGCTTGTATTTGGATAAAGCGGATCAAGTATGTCATATAAGAACATTTTACAGATGATATCATAGAGTAATAGCATAAGTCTGGACTTAAAGAGTACAAGCTTGTATAAAACATTGTGATTGTATATACCACTACTAAAAAAGTAATTTTAGACAGGCAGGACAAGCGCTTAGAATTAATAAATAAAGAACATTAATATTTATATAAAAGTTAAGTATAAAGATGACGATATTTTACTAAATCAAAGATAAGAGAGTGTGTCGCATGCATATGGTAAAACTAAGACGGTTATCGTTATTCCTTCAGAATGCAGATCTCACCTGTAGATACGTCACGGCTGCGCATGAACGTTTTTTCAAATTTTCTCTTATAGTAAAAAGCATCAACAAGCTCTTGCTCAACAATTAACCAAATAATCATCATATTCAGATAAAGGCTATAGGAACGCAAACAAAACAAAAAAAATATATATCATATAATCAAATTTTGATGAATATGAATAATTCATCAAAATTTCGTCGTAATTGGATAAATAGTGTAGGAATGCAAACCCGAAAAAGAAAAAAAGTATTTTCTATAGGAGTAAAATAAATTACAAAACGCAATGATGATTATGATGTTATTCTATTGCTCTTTGCCTATCACTTAGTCAGTGCATGTGTGTGTTACAGGTAATTACTCTAAGGCATACTGTCCAAGACCACAGTCTATAAAAGACTGTCTGTCTTCAGTAGAAGTATCTAACCCATAGATTACTGTGTATATACTAGATCTAACCTATATCTTGGTTTATGACTGACATATATCAAGCAGATTGCTCCTATCCATTACAGAAATGTAAAGTTGTGAAGATTCAATGCAAAATGAAAGAGGACTATTGTTTACCGGTGACTGAATTATGTTTTAGATATTGGGTAAAATATATATCAATATCCTAAAACTATCAAAATAAGTTAAATTAAATTAATTTCTTGTGAAATGTGCTCAGTCTGTCATTTAGTGCATTATTACGAAAGACTTGCGAAAACTACCCAAAATATATTAATCGGTATATTAGATCTAATTCGTAGAATTATATTTGCAATTGTCACTTGTATTTTTGTCACAATCCGACTATTTTTTCGTGTATATATGCGCACAGGTGCGTATTTTACAAATAAAGGTTCGTGTCCAAAGAAAACCGACTGCAAGTTGCGAATATACAGTATTATGTGTACCATCAGTTGCTTGCTTTTGATAGTTGTGGCATTCTTTATAGTTGTATTTCATACAAAATTGTTGGATAATTTATTTGCTAAATGTGAAAATATGTCCGATGTTAAAAGAAACGCAACGGGAGGTAATGGCACAGATCAGACTGGAACGGAAAAAGGTATAATAGCACAGAATGGAACAGAATCTAGTAGCAATGAAACAAATACGGAGATAGAAGAAGAACAACGAACTCCTGAAACAATACCGACAACTCTTAAAGCCACAACGCAGACAACTCCTGAAGACACAATGCAGACAACTCCTGAAGACACAATGCAGAGAACTCTTGAAGATACAACACAGACAACGCCTAAGGACACAACGCATGAAACTCCTGAAGATACAACGCTGGAAACTCCTGAAGACACAACGCTCGAAACTCCTGAAGACACAACGCAGACAACGCCCAAAGACACAACGCATGAAACTCCTGAAGATACAACGCTGGAAACTCCTGAAGACACAACACTCGAAACGCCTAAAGACACAACGCATGAAACTCCTGAAGACACAACCCTGGAAACTCCTGAAGACATAACGCAGACAACCCCTAAAGATACAACGCTGGCAACTCCTGAAGACACAACGCTAGAAACTCCTGAAGACACAACGCTAGAAACTCCTGAAGATACAACGCAGACAACTCTAGAAGCCACAATGCAGACAACTCCTGAAGAACAAGTAATTACTAATTCAACAGAGAAGAGTAGGCTTATACGTATTGGCTATGATGCGAATGATAACATAAAATCAGATAATATTAACGATTTTTATGAAATTCGAGAACACTCACCTAATGCTTATAGTGATGTTAAAGAATTTGTAAAGGAAAAGCAAAGTATGAGTAAAGTTTTGTCTTTACTAGAGGAGATTTTAAAAAATATGAATTCTAAGAAAAAGTTCGAAAATTTGCTTCTTTCAAATGTTATTCAAACAACTCCATTTGATGAACCATCCATTGAGTCTATTGATGATTTACCTAAGAAGACTTCAGAAGAATTGTATGTAGAGTCTGGAGATAATAATTTTGATGAGAAAATGAATGATAAAATAATCATTTAAGAAAATATTGTGTCATTGAAATTTATGTAATATTATTTAAAATATAAATGAAAACATTACGTGAATGACATGTGTGATGTGTGAACATCATCACGTTTATCACCTTTTACTGGTAAACTTAGACATCTCGTCAAGATGGAGATTTTTGAAAGTAATCATCTTGCTGCTGATTAGCATTGACAGTATCTCTGTGGCATGCAAGGATTTCTTCTATAGGAATATTGTGATATTTTTCATTTTCTTAAGGCTGTATTTTTCTGGATTTAATTTTCTACTGATTAACGGCTTTAAATTGTACAGTGCATTATTTTCCACTGTCCAAGTGTGGTAACCTATTTATATCAAAAATATACTGGTCTTAGAATTTGCTTCGTTTCTTTCATTTTACTTTAACCAAAAGTCTATAGTCACTGTCTGGAGCTTGTTCATACCCTGAATTTTTTTTTTATAAAATAGTTCGGTTTTGTTTAATACAGTCCGTGATTTGTTTGTAGATTATATGAAATCAAAGTTCCCAGTCTCATATTATTTCTTACCTTCATATCTTATGTACGCGACATCAGTAGATTTCGATCATTCGCTACGCCCGAGGTTTTTGACGAAATATAGACAATAGTCTTAAGTTGTAAAGTAAATCTTAAATAAAATGTCTCACTTCGCCCAAGATGAATGCATTATTTTTGAAAGACTTGCCAATATTAACAAAGCTGGCCAGGCAAGTTTCAGAGCGCAAGCCCATATATACCATTAAACTGGTTATATTGATCCCCATCACCAGTCCGTAGTGGTAATTTTGTTTATTCACCCTAAAACGAGCCGTGGTAGCGCAGATGGTTAACGCTCGCTGTAATATAACAGAACACGAGTAATCCGGGTTCGATCCCCGCCGGCACCAATGAAATTGATAATTGCAATTTTAAGTGCTGATTTACCACGTGCTCGGCGGTGAAGGAAAACATCGTGAGGAAACCTGCATGTCTGAGGAATAAGATAAAATATATTTCTAAGACATGTGAAGTTCGCCAACACGCATTGGTGCAGCGCGGCGGACACTTCCCCGCCCTAAAAACCCTCTCATAAATGAGGGCCTGTGCTCAGCAGTGGGACGTATATAGGCTGTAACTTTACTTTACTTTACTTTACCCTAAAACAGCCACCCTAGGGAGGATACCTGATAACGCGTGTTCATCTATCAACCCAAGACTGGGTAGATAATCGAAATTTGTACGTTATTTTTCTTCCGATTTTCCTCCTTAGCTGTGTACAACCATTTATGATGATAAAAATTGGCCCAAGATGTTTCGTAGATTTTAGCATACCTACACACATCTTGTTTGAAAGTTCAACACGATAGAAGAAGTGCCTCACGGGATTATATACTCATTGGAATCTTGTCATAAAACAATTTAAAATGAAGTTTTTTATACTGGTAGAGCCATGCTGCAGTTATATTAGTAGTATAGTTGTAGCACGAATGGGTCGACCGGGGAAGAACCACGCTCTCACAGAATACCACCGTGAAATAGCAGCTTAATGCTGCTGTGTTTCGTATGGTGAGTGTAGAGAACAGGAGACCCTTTTTACTGGAAACGAGGCATTACATCTTAGTCCTCACAGGTGACAACGCATCTGCATTTTGATTTGTAATCGAGGATAGATGTGGATTACTATGGGCCGCAGCAACCACTTACCATCAGGTGGACTGTGTGCTCGTTTGTCACCCTACCCTATAAAAAAAGTTGAAGACAAATATCCAAATTTATTAACGCTTTTCGAATACTAGTAAAAAACGCCCAGTTTTTCGTTAACGCTTTGTAGCAATGAAATTTGGAAAATGATTGGAAATGTACTTTCAAAAATGACGAATTTATCCAGAATATTAAAATACGTCTACTCAATAGTTTGTGGTGTTGGTTTGTTCCTGATCATAGTGCAGTTTTTTAATTTCAAAATACCTAATAGTATAATTTAAAACGAGGAAGTTTAATTTGACTTAAATGCAATACATACATAATGCATGGGCTGTAATAGCACAGTATAATAAAGTATGGATTTTAACTGTGATGATAGGTTGTAACGGTAGCGATCATTTAAAATGTATTAATAATTAAAGTGTATGAGGATAATATTTATTCTTATACTGTACTTAGGGTAAAAATTCGGCATAATAAATAAAAGGGACATTCTGATTGACCCTAGACGAGGTGAATAGACAAATACGCGTTTCCGAGTATCCATTCTAGTGTGGATTTTTAGGATGGGTAAACGGAATAATCCGTCTATAGGATTTAGATTTTACATATTTGTATGGTATGCTTGTACCATCGTTCATGCATTTCAACTAAGCTATTTCAGACTATTTTAGGTTTATAAAGGGAACAATTTTTAAGATTCAATAACATCATATTATTGAATTTCAAAAGGTTAACGTATTTTTAAAGCCATTGCAATAATTCAAACAGAGTCGACTCGAATTTAATTTTTTATATCACATATGTTTTCCCTTACATTTATTTACAATGAAACGTTATAATTACATAAACTAGGTACAGAGAGTAACTATTCTTAGTTAACAAAACAACAACAAACGCGGAATATATCAAAAACCACAATACACGGCGACCACAACACAATTGCGAGCAAAATGAACATGTAATGAGCGAAGTTACGAATACACGATATTATCAATAAATAATTTGGATACAGTGAAGGACATACAATGTAAAGCCATATACAAGGCTTCTTCGTTCTTTTCAAATGAGCATATCGGCAACCGTAAGTAATTTGGTCACGGCGCATTTTTCTCTTCTTTTTTTGCCTAAGCTTTCTTTGCTCCGATACTAATTCCTTTTTATTCATGTTAGTTTTAAGCATACAGGTTTTGTATATATTGTAAGTGTTCGATTGAGAATTTTTATTGATAGAAGCATTTCCTGATGCCTTTGAAAAAATATTGAACATCTGTCGTCCACTTTTTTGTTTTTGGTAATGTCGTCGTGATTTATTTTGCTTCAGTCCATCGTTTACTTTGAAAGAATAGCAAGATGTTCTTGTTTTCTTACTTATTTTCTTCCTTTTAGATATTTTATTATCATTATTATTCAATGATTTACTAAACTTACTTGGTTTCATTTTATTATTACTTTCTTCTTTCTTAATTGTTCTATTAAATATTCCATCTTGTTTATTATCTTTATTCAAGTTTATGAGTTTGCTTTTAACTTTATCGCAAAACCATTTAGTAATGATTTTATGATTGATTTTATGCTTAATTTTCCCGTTAACTTTTGTACTTTTCGAATTATTTTTATTAACTGGAATAAAATTATATTTTGTTTATTAATTTTATATGAAATAATAGATCGTAGCAATATATTATATGTGAATGATAAAAAAATATTAAGATAATGTCGTCCCGGTTGATTTTGACTGCGACAATAACTTCTGAATATGGTCGAAGGACATCAATCGTGCCATAAAATGTGTGCTATCACAGGACTCGTCTTAATCTATTTACGAATGATGTAACACTCAGTGTAGTAACTAAGCGACCGCTATTTTAGTGTTTATCAAGACGGGTAGTCCAGCGTGCATAGGAAAGACACCCTTTTCTTGTGTCCGGTGAGGTGGAAGCTTGACTAGTTTGTACAATGCACCGCTATTCCTCATGCCTTAAGGGAAAATAAATGATTGTAACAAGGAGTAGTAGGTAAGGATGCAGTGACAGATATACGCAGGCAATCGCAATGTACCAGATACAAAAACAAACAATTTGTGTTTTACAGATATTATGCCATCACTAGTTGATTTGAAGCAACTAAAATGAACAACTATCAAGCAGTACCAAAGTATTAAAATACTCAGATCAGTCATAAAAAACATCTTAAGACCAAAAAGTCTTCCTTAAAACATATCATAACACGGGAGTCCGAAGAGATTGGATTACATACAGACTGATGATAATGATGATAAAATAAAACACTATTATTTATATGCTTCCAATATATGCCTCAATTTAAAGAAGTTTATATTCTGCAGTTAAGCAATTATCGACAAAGAAACGTCTACCGCGCTGCTCCAGTGCGTATTGGCGGAATTCACATCTTTGTATTGTTTATCAGACATGCAGGTGTCCTCACGATGTTTTCACCAGCCGCCAAGCACATGGTAAGTAAGCATTTAAAACTGCAATAAAAAATTTTATTGGTACCGGCGGGGTTCGAATCCGCGTCTTTTGCGTACTATGGTATTATACATATATATTTGATTGTATATCGGTAAAACTTGTTGTGATAATACTGTAATCAAACATTTTTCGTCCAAAGCTTGTAGTGCGTACTAAGCACTGTAAAAGTGTACTCAAATCCACAAACAAAACATTTTATTATTCTATAATAAATTATTTTTCCCCGACTGTTCGCCCATGTAGGCTGTAATAATAAAGAGAAAAAATAATTAAAAAAAAGCGTGGTATCTCTACGTTTTTGTCCTTAGGCTGTAGAGATGACCTTAGTGACAAATTTACCGATCATATTGCGCGGGCAAGTCAAAATTCTTGCATTATTCGTTAAAACAAGGAGAAAAACAAATTTATCCAGGCATGAATACATTTTCCCTAGTTAGATCGATTTTTGCTCCAAATTAATTTAAAAAAAATGATTTTTTTGTTTTTGTTAATTATAATATTGCTATTACTTATTATATACATATATTGCTCGTATAGAATAAAGTTCCTACCTCTTTTATATGAGTCTAACGCACGCGTGTTTCTGCCGGAGTTTATTAACTTAGTCGTAACATAGCGACATTCATAAGTCTTTTTAATATTTTCATTTGCGTTATCATATTTTGGTAAAAATGGATGTCTATTCGGCTGATTTTCGTTTTTATTTTGTGACGTATAGTTTTCTGATTTACATAAAAATCGATTCCATAGACATGATATTTTTGATCTTATATCTCGAAGATATTTCGAATCTGAGCCGCTCAATGTATTATTATTCCCAACTCCTAAATTTTTGTCTAATAAATCGACTACTTTCGTCGGATATTTCAAACTCATTTTACGTATTTTGCTTTCAATTTCGGGTAAGTTTAATATTCTCATATCATTGTAGTCCAATTTTAATTCAAATAAGGGACCCATACAATTACTAGGACTTTGAGAAATTTTATTTAAAATGGCTTTTCCCTTTATTTTCGAATTTGCTTTTAAATCACCAACACTTTTTAAGCACTCTTGCGTCATAGCATGACCTTCCTTCTTGTGTTGGTTTAACAACATAAGTCTATTTTTAACCTCTGATGTGTTTATCACGCGCTTGGTAATGGAATCAATTATTATCTCAAAAAGTGGTGCATCCAACTTTTTATCATCAGTAGCAATTTTTTTCTTAAACCTAAATAAATTTCGAAGAGTGTACAATACACTTAAGCCCAAGTCAGGATTAGAACATTTGCTCAAATTAGATAGCTTACTGTATGATGGTTTCTTAAATTTGATACATTTTTTGTTTGCTGCGTTTGTATCAGTTTGAGTGTTGTCACAACGACAATTCAAATTTAGTTTGTTAATCATGGAAAATTCATTGCAGTTATCTGTTAAGGTTTTCCTTGATATTTTACCTGGCTTAAAAAAATCACGCACTCTTGTCCATGCTACCATAATTATATTATTTTTTATAAATTTTCCGTTCCGGAAATCTGGACTTTTATGGAAGTTAGTGTTACAGTTACTTTTTCCCCCGTTTAGGCATTTGGTTATTGAATTCGATTCATGTTTTTGTTCGTTGTCGTGCAACTTGTTTTTTTTAGCAACTTCGTTTTGTTTGTTGGGCCAATCAAGACACACTCCTTGCATATTGTTAGTTTTAAGACCGACAAAATAACACATAACATTATTTTTTAATTTATTATGGCAACAAATTTCCTCCTTTGCGAGGCTAGGAGAGATTTCATTTAAGTTATATTTATTTATTACAAATTTGATAGCGCTAGCGGGCCTTATTAATTCTACTGAATAATTCATGTTTTCTTCTTCGATACAATTATGTAAATGTTGGGGTGTGGAACATATATTTTTTCTATAGCGATATTTATTTTTATTCTCATGCTTATTATACTTTGAGAAACGCTTATGGGAAGGCGTTTTGCCTCTGGAACTATTTTCGTTTGTTAGAGTTTGCTGTATTTTCACGTTATTCAATTCACTCATTCCAATCCCATCAACAATTTTTTTCATTTTAACTTTACTATTATTTCGTGAGCATTTTTGGCTGTCTATGAACTGTGCACCTGGGTCTAAGTACTCAGCACTTTTCGGAATTCTATTACATTTGCGTTGCATCGAACCATTTAAAAAGTCTTGATTGTATTTTTTGCATTTAGTTTCGAAAGTTTTAAAGTTATGGTTCTTGATTTTCTTCGCATATTTTTTGTAAACTGCCAAAACTTCCTTAGTATCGCCATTTCCAAGCCATTGATTTTTCCGATTATAATTTTCACTTCTGTTACGTTTCCACCTATCTGGATTTTTAATGTCGCAGTTGTGCCTTTGCTTACGTTCTAAATTAAACTCATTTAGCGTTGGCATCATACCATTACTTACGTAATAAACATATTTCTGTAATTTCTTATCCTTATTCATACTAAAACGTTCAAAAACTAGAATAATTTATTTTAGAAGAGTAACATGACCAAAGCTTATTTAACAGTAGTTACAACATTCTCAATTTGTTAGGTTTACAAAAAAATCTGTGAATTCACTTTGTAATCATTATAAAAAATTACATATTGATAATTTATCGTAACTGTGAATTTTGTTGTAATAGTCACTCTTGTTAGATCTACATTACATTAAATGCAGATGACACACTTCATTGTGACATTAACACAGGATAATTTACTAATTAATATCATACACACTTTGTAATACAATTTCACACAAACTGTAAATTAGTGAATAAAAAGCACTGACATCGACTGTTAAATGCCATCGCTGAACATCAATAATTTAAGCGGATTAAATTTTTGTTTTATTATTCCGGATAATTACATCTAGAGCAATAGGCATCTTGAATTGTCGAATAAAAAAACTGCTGATTAAATTTTATTTTATCGTATGTATAGGTAATAATCGCTTACAACTACATTAGCGCTTGGCCCAGTCCAGGCTAAACAGAGAGAGTCCTTTTTTTGACTTTGATCGACTTTAATGACTTAAATAACATTATTTCCAAATAATAAAAGTCTAACGACAATTTTCGAGCCCCGGGTTCTTCATTCTATTGTTATTGGCAGCCCTTGAAGGTCACGAAGGACGAGGCAATTTAATTAACTACCACTTTCAACCTTCTTTTAAAACATTTTTAATATTCATATGTCTGTGATTTTGACATTTACTATACATAGTAGGTCCCCTACGATATTTTAACGAATTAAAATCACGTTGAAAACACAAACTAAACAAAAAAGGCTCTCTGTCCACTTAGACGTTGTATAACTTAAGCAACTGTAAGTAAACAGTTTTTTAGGTTATATAAAATAAAGTTAATGGTAACGTACATTAAGAACGAGAGCTTCATGTTGTTTATTATTTTCAAAATTAATTTTAGTTTAAAAATTAAGTCAATGAATAATTTAAACCGTACGAGTATATTACTAAGGAAAGAAAAGAACATCTATGGTATATATTCTCAGAGTAATTACTAGCATAGAGAGAGTCCTAAAATAGGAACAAAATTCTTGAAGCTGAACTCTTTATACATATGACGTTTGACGTGGTACATAATAGGATGGCTATATTATTCCCACCTTTTTTCCGTGGTTGCTGTTTTACGTAGACAGAGAAACCAACAGACTAATGATTAACGTGGATTTGAGTGAGAAAGGACGATAACGTAGTTTTAGGTTATACAATAATCTTTATGACTTTTAAACATATTTAGATAAAAAACTTTAATTGTTCTAAGAACTGAACTGAACAAGATTCACCAATCTTAAGCTCACAAAACACTTTTTTGTCACTTAAACCAACTTGTAAACTCCTTAAATCGCTACGAACTGTCAAAGTTGTTTAGCAAACTGCACTTTGCTAAACAAACAAATCGGCACAGAGAAAGGGACAAACAATCACACCGCTCTGTCTCATTTCTATGCAGGGCGTATGTTATAAATCTATCTTTTTCGTGTGCGAATGCGAAAGAAGGCGTCAATTTGTCTATAGGTTTCTCTGTCTACGCCGTTTTACCATTCCATAGACACCTCTATTGATGTACCATTAGCAAAATAAAAAACGTTGTCGATAAATTCATTTAGTCTATGACTTAGTAAAATTAAGGATTTTTATTGATCTGGTTCGTAATACTTATTTATATCAACGAAAGTTGAAGGAAGCTTCATCTCACATCTTACAACGGAACGTAGTTGAATAATACAGAATTTCGTACTATCTTTGTATAATTTAAAATATATCGTGAAAGTTTACTATGAAATCTACTTCAATTCAGCCGATATATTTCTGCCAAATTATCCTTAGACTTAGTATGGGTTTCACAAGGAATAATAACTGTGTTTGTTTAATCGACACATAGTTTGTGTCACGGGACGTACACAGAGGGCACTGCTACGAAAGTTTTATTTGTCGAATAAGGGTGCCAACCGAGCACACCGTCCACCTGATGGTAAGTGATTACTGTGGCTTATAGACATCTACATTTATCCTAGATTAAAAACAAAATGAAGATGCGTTGTCGAGGACTAAGATGGAATGCCTCGTTTCCAGTAAAAATGGTCACCGGTTCTCTACACTCAACACAACATAGCACTTAAGCTGCTATTTTACGCCGGTATTCTGCGAGAGCTTGGTCCTACTCCGGTCGAGCCAACACATTCGTGCTAAAACTGTTATAGGTGCAGCATGCCTTTACCACGTAAAGTAGTATAGTGAAATAACCGTGGCACGACCGCGTTCTGCCTTTTGTCACAAGATCAAAACTACCAATAAATCGATTACGAACGTATTACACGTTTTCTCCCTGCTTCCTCAAGATATTATCCATCATTCATTAATTAAATACAACCAATCAAAAGTCCACTGCTGTACGTAGGGGGAATATTTGTCATAGTTCTCTCTCTTAGCAAGTGGTTTTGGCAACCGTATTTTTTTATTATATTGAGTTGTTATCACGAAGATACTGTTGCCTCTCACGTTTCATTTCTCCCTGTCGTCTATATATAAATTGTTAATTATTATGGATTTATTATTATTATTTTATTTTATAATATTTCACCATTTTTAATGTTTCACCATTTTTAAATGCAGGGAAGTGAGTGAATGGGGCACTACACTCTATTATGAAGAACCAGAATTTGTCAAAACAGGCACGTATGGTAATTCATAATGCTGTGTTAGTCCCTACTTTAATGTATGGTAGTGAAAGCTGGGTGTGGCAGAAGAAGCACGAAAGTAGAATAAATGCTGTAGAAATGCGGTCTTTAAGGAATATGCTAGGGTGTAATCTGAATGACAGGGTGAGAAATTGCGTGATAAGAGATAAATGTGGTATGCAAGATGATGTTGTGACCAGGATTAAGAAAGGAATGCTTCGGTGGTTTGGTCACGTAGAAAGAATGAATGAGGAAAGAGTGACAAAGCAAATTTATATGGCAGATGTGAATGGCCGAGTCGGGAAGGGACGCCCTAGGAAAAGTTTATCGACCAAATTGGCGATATTTTGAAAATGGGCCACGTTAGAAGTACCCTTAACCGACGAGCATGTATGCGTAGATATATGGATGTAAAGGAGGCGAAAGAGGTATGTCAGGATCGTGCCAAATGGAAGTCCGTAGTCTCTGCCTACCCCTCTGGGTGACAGGCGTGAGTGTTTATGTTTTTAATGTTTCTTTTTGTCAAAAATTAAAAATTACTTCGCAGACACTACTTACCAACGGCAGCGTGCCTGTAAATTCTACAAGTTTTCAGGGACATGCAGGCTATGCTTTAGCACGTAGCGATCGTTCTCCTTCTCTCTAACCTCCATGGTTACTATAGCAATAGTAGTAGTAGTACAAAAAATCGTGGTCTTAACGATTTTTCAAAAATCGACCTTTCTTTACTTGCTATCAGAGTTTATATTAACAATATTAAAATATAGAATAAAGTACAGATTACAAACGCAACATTTTTTTTTATTTCTTTAATCCCTTATGAAGAGGCGAAAGAAACAGAGCACACAGCAGTTTGGCAAGTTTTTGAATAGAAAAACTGTCATTCTTTAGAAGTTTGGGTACATTCAATTAATTGTAAATAATTTTATAATTCTTATAAAAACAGAAAAAGATTCGATCTCGATTTTCTAGGGTGAAATATTTATTCACTGGATCGATTCAGTACTATATCGATTTAAAAATCGATCTTCTTGGCACTAGAAATCGATTCTTCGATTAATTGATCTCAGATCGACATGCCTAGCAATTAGTCTATGTTACAAAGTTGTGGTGTGAAATGTCAATGTCAAGTCAAGCAAGTTAGCACAAGTTAGCAAATTATCACAGAGTACCTTCAAATTATGCAAGCAAGCAAAAGCAAGTAGGCATGTCGATTCACTCTTAAAAAATCGATCTCTGAATCGATTAGAATCAAAGATACTAGAATCGATTATCAATTAAATCGAAGATTAAAAGATCGATTTTCGATTAATCGTGACACTTTCAAACATGAAATTTCAAGAATTTGCGATTTTTTTCTTTAATTGAACTTTAATATTTGAAATTAAAATATTATCTTATTAATTAAAGTTACTAATATTCCTTTTAACCTCTCCTGGTAAGCTTGAAACGCTTGTTTTAGGTTGTGGTTCGCCACTCGATCCCTTTTTTTATAAAGTGATTCCATGTATCAATTTTATTTGACATTTTAGGTTAAAAACAACAACAATACTTTAACAAAAGGGCAAACTGCAACGTACATTTCTCGATCAATCTGTTTCAATCTATTAACTCACTATTTATCAAATTGATATGAATGCTACACGAACACAATACTGGTTATTTCCTTACTATAAACCTCTATAAACTTCAACATATAATATTTATTTACAGCATCTAGATATAGAAAGTACTCCGTCTGTAATTAAAGCTCACAGTATGTATGTTTTTGATAATAAAGTAAATTCGCAAGTTCACAGTTCAAACAGGTTCACAGCTATAATATTAAATTGTGGTATGTATGATATGTAGTTTTGTTCACAGCACAGATTAAGTTAGACCAACATTCCACAGAGAAATGAAAATGAAATGACAACTTTTCGATATTGTTGGATGCGTTCATAAATATTTATTTTATTCAAATATACAATATGTAACGTAATTAACGCACACCCTCAGACAACCCAATCAGTATATTATGTTATAACCATAATGCTTACACTGAATTTTTAGTTAAACATTTTTATGCACTGATTATTTATCAAATTAGTTATACTAATTCCGGAAGAATGTTATGGTCACAGTACAAATCCACGAACGCAAAGACTTTAATGTGCTTGAAATAAAGTTCATTTTTCTTTATTTTTATTGAATGACAGAATTATTAATAATACAAATAAAACTGCACTCTTAAAAGTCTTATTGCCTTAAGTTAAGGTTCATTCATTCATTTCAGTTTGTTTTGACTGTACAGATTTATTGTGACTGTAATTTACGTAGTTTTAATTATTTTTGGGATAAAAAATCACCTATATTAAAAATGATAGGAATCAATTCAGTAAACAATTCTGAACAAACTACTTTCTCAAAGTGCGTTAATTATGTTACGTGTTGTATATTGCGTTCAAATTATCAACCAAGTAAGATCGGTTATTTTAGCGTCCCCCTAAAAGCAAAAAATTAAAAGAACTGCGGTATCTTACCCCAACCAGATTGGTAATTTTATCGCTGGTTCTAGAATCAGATGAATTTGCGCGATTCGACAGGTTTTTTGGATCGATTCAGTGAATCGATGCGGTGCTCTGAATCGATCTATTGCTCCAAAGAATCGATTTTAGATCGACATGCCTAAAAGCAAGTACCAAGTAGTTCATAGATAAATAAATATGTAGCAAGAACCAAGAAGTAGTTTGCAATATTAGAAAGTACTCTGTGCTCTGTGGTAGTTTGTTTGCGCCTGCTCTGGATACTCGTGTCTTGCATAGTGTCCATAGATTACTGATAGTGTCCAATAGTGTCTTGCAGTGTTGCCGTTTTAGCGACTTTCTCGCTAGATCTAGCGGATTTTAACAATGTTTAGCGGATAAAAAAATCGTTTTAGCGAGAAATAATTATTTAGCGACTTCTAGCGACATTTGGACTTTTGAGATGGCGACTTTTTTTATGAAGTAATTCATTTCAAGTAAGTAATTTTTCATATGTCCAATTTTGTAATCTACCGTTTGTAGCACTCTATATAATTATAATATAATTTCACGGGAATTCCCGAACATAAACTAACAATGCAATGTCGTTAATTCACTTTCTCTGTTTCGACCTGAGACCATGTTCTAAGGTTTCGACATACAAAAATGCAGCAGGAGTAAATATATTCGAAGATTTATGTAATTTTGCAATAGTAATATTATCACTACCGCTCTCAAATGCAGAATGTGAACGCGTGTTTGGTGCAACGAATGTAGTTAAAAGCAAACTGTGAAACAAGCGATCAGAAAAACGTTTAAATTCCATCCGTCTAATTAGAAATCAGTTAAGGATTGAAAAAGAATTGCGCAACGTATGATATTCCCGAAGATCTTGTCAACCCAGTCGGTAAAGGTAAACCAAAGATGGGAACTGGAGACATTGGCGAAGCTTCAAATTCCGCTGAAGTTCTTTTTGAAGATCTGGATCCATACTTCGCTATTAATTTTGAAATTTAGGTACAAGAACGTACTGAGCTAATTGTTTTATTTTTAATAAGATGACTAATGTTTACACGTGGTTTAAAAAGATTTATTCTTTTACAATATTTTTTATTTTGTACATGAATAATTTTTGTTTTGGTTGTCATGTCATTAACCTACACTATATATAATTAATTTATATGAAATAGAGGCCGCTCTTTTTTAAGGTTTTCTGAATTTATAGATTTAGATTTTCGGTATTCTTTGTATACTATAATCTAAATCTATCGAACAATCATTTGGCAAGATTTTTCAGTTAGACCAACGGTACCACGAAAATGTACCTAGGGACTTCTAGCGGATTTAAGAAAAAGAAAAATCCTGTTTCTGGCGGATTTTTTCTATTAGTCTAGGGACTTTAAAATTTGTAGAACGGCAACCCTAGTGTCTTGCGTAATGCGTAGTATCCTCTTAGTAGTCTGTGGTGTCTTGTTGCATGAGTCGCGTTTAGAGACCGGTTTTGAGTTGCGGTGATTTAAATAATTTGTGTTATTTTCAAAATTGATTATTTTAAACAACCGCAAAATGGCATCAAAATATTTATTGTTGGCGATATTCATCGGTGAGCATTAACCAGTGATATTAATTGATTATTTTTTATCGGAATCTAATTGATTTTTAATTAGATAGCCAAGGCTGTAGGTAGTTACTTTAGCTATAGTATATTTGTGTAATTATTTAGAACCGATTTGAGCCATTTTATTTTTTTAATTAGTTCAGATTTAATACAGTGTTTTTTTGAAAACTAGGGAGATTTTTGGCTAGATCCTCACATGGTACTAGTATTTCTGTATCTTACTTGTAATTCTTATAAATACAAATTGATTCAAGTCTGGAATTTATATTTATAAAATACTTCAACAACTAACGAACACAACAAATTTTTTGCTTATCTCTATTATATATATTTAATAAATTTCCTTTATTTATGTAATGTTCAATATTTTGTAAAATGATGTTGTTATAGGAGGTGTATGTGCCCAGACAGAGCCTTCAGTGTCAGATGTTTTGAAAGCTCTTCCTGCAGATCTGCAGAGCACAGTCAACGAGTCTCAAGTTCAAGATCTTCAAAACAAAACAACAAAACTTTTTAAAGAAAAATGTGAAAAAAATGGAGGTCCTGATGCCTATACAAATGCGGAGGTAAGTGAAAATATCTAATGTTTCATTGATTAGGTTGGCTTAGTTATCCAGCTTTAAAAAAAATGAAATTAGTGACACTTAATGTGTTGCTAATATCATTTTTTTAAAGCTGGATATGGATTAAATGTATTCTCTGTATCCACTATTAACTATCTTTATTAATTAATAGGAAAAAATTATCTTATAACAGCTTAACAAATCCTATGATTCTATGAAGTAGTTTGATTTAGCAGTGAACGAACGAACGAAGTAGTTTGATTTACAGTGATATTGGTCTTGTAAAACCTGATTAACATTTCACACACATTATACAAAATAATAGATATAGAACTTATTAAAATCATTTGAAATTATCTGTCTCCCCAGATTGTTGAGCAGAAATAGTTTTTTAATGAAATAGAATTGGTATAACAAACGAACACACAGAACACCTGATGGTAACCAGATGCTGTGATTCATACATCTACATATCTAAACTTGATTAAGAATCAAAATGTTGATATTTTAAGGAGTCTAAGGACTATAATAACTCCTGGATGATCCTGGAAAATGGGTATTAGGTTTACATGCGCCATACAAATCAAATTCTTAGGGGCAGATTGTTAAGAACAAAATGCTAATTCAGTATAAAACAATATAAAAACATCATACAAATATAATGATTTCTTATATTTACGCGAACATTGCACATGATTAAAACTACTTTTACGGATTTTATCGCGTTTATTTTTTACTTTTTATTTTTAATTCCCGACGTTTCAGGTGCTTTCCAGCACCCATGGTCACGGGGGACTGAGATGACTGACGTCCCGATGTCATTGTTAAACCCCGGAGTACCTTCAGCTTTTTTAATTATTGTTTATGGTCCGATCTATGCAAAATGAACTGACTATGTCCTGAGGTCTTGCAGTGGTATGCTTGGGTTTAGTTTTAATTTTATTGATTATAGGATCCCAAGCAGGTGGTAGTACCCAGCCTCCTTCTCTATTGAAATTAGGATGTTTTTTTAATTTCAATAGCCTCACGTATCATCCTTGGTAGGAATCGGTGTTCTTTCGCGAGGATTTGTGGTCTATCAAATCTGATGTAATGGTTGGGGCCGTCTAGGATATGATCACAAACTGCAGACTTCCCGGAACGTTGATGCTTCACATCAGCTATATGTTCTTTTACGCGGGTCCTAATTGATCTTTTGGTTTGTCCTATATAAGAGAGACCACATTCACAATCAAGCTTGTACACTCCTGCATCTTGTAGAGGAATATGACACTTGACGGATGGTAGGAACTGACTAATCTTCTTCGGCGGCATGTAGAATGTTCTAAAAGAAGCTCGCTTCAGGATATAGCCAATCTTGTCTGTGACACCTCTGACATATGGTAGTACAGCAGGCACACGTTCGACTGTAGCCGGCTTCACTCGGTCACTGTGACGTAGGCGCGGGACCCGAAGCTTGTTGTCGTGCAGAACTTGCTTGACGTGCTGAAGCTCGGCGGCCAGGTGTTTGCTGTCACAGATCCCTCGTGCTCTCTGTAACAAAGATTTGCCCACGGTAGCTAACTGTGAAGGATGGTGGTGAGATTCACCGTTTAAATATCGGTTTGTATGGGTCTTTTCCTATACACAGTGTGACCAATGGTGTTATTAGGATTTCGGATGACTAACACATCTAGGAAAGGTAAGGAATTATTTGCCTCTAACTCCATAGTAAATTGAATTTTAGCGTTTATGGAATTAAGATGTTCTAAAAATGCAGTTACTTTGTCTGATGGTAAAATTGTGAAAGTATCGTCTACGTACCGCTTGTAGATCCTTGGTGTAACAGGTGCAGTAAGGAGGGCTTTCTCCTCAAAGTCTTCCATGAATATATCGGCGACAATGGGAGATACAGGTGAGCCCATCGCCACACCATCTACTTGCTTGTAAAACTCTTCCTTCCACAATAGATAGCCAGATGTAAGGCAATGTCTTAGTAATACTGCATATTCTGCTGGCATGTTATTTTCCTCTAGTTTCCTAGTTATAATTGAGATGCAGTCTTCAACAGGTAGGCATGTAAATAGAGACTGAACATCAAAACTGACCATGGTTTCATTGTCAGTAAAATGTAGGTCTTTTATCTCACTGACAAAATGTTATGAATCCTTAGTGTGTGCTCTTGTGTTCACAGGTACTTCCTGTGCCAAACCACCGAAGTTGTATGGGTTACCAAAGATACACAAACCGAATGCTCCATTACGTCCAATAGTGAGTCAGATTGATTCGCCAACTTACAGATTGGCTCAATACTTGGCTAAAATATTATCACCACTCAGAGGACACACAAGAGCACACACTAAGGATTCATACCATTTTATCAGTGAGATAAAAGACCTATATTTTACTGACAATGAAACCATGGTCAGTTTTGATGTTCAGTCTCTATTTACATGCCTACCTGTTGAAGACTGCATCTCAATTATAACTAGGAAACTAGAGGAAAATAACATGCCAGCAGAATATGCAGTATTACTAAGACATTGCCTTACATCTGGCTATCTATTGTAGAAGGAAGAGTTTTACAAGCAAGTAGATGGTGTGGCGATGGGCTCACCTGTATCTCCCATTGTCGCCGATATATTCATGGAAGACTTTGAGGAGAAAGCCCTCCTTACTGCACCTGTTACACCAAGGATCTACAAGCGGTACGTAGACGATACTTTCACAATTTTACCATCAGACAAAGTAACTGCATTTTTAGAACATCTTAATTCCATAAACGCTAAAATTCAATTTACTATGGAGTTAGAGGCAAATAATTCCTTACCTTTCCTAGATGTGTTAGTCATCCGAAATCCTAATAACACCATTGGTCACACTGTGTATAGGAAAAAGACCCATACAAACCGATATTTAAACGGTGAATCTCACCACCATCCTTCACAGTTAGCTACCGTGGGCAAATCTTTGTTACAGAGAGCACGAGGGATCTGTGACAGCAAACACCTGGCCGCCGAGCTTCAGCACGTTAAGCAAGTTCTGCACGACAACAAGCTTCGGGTCCCGCGCCTACGTCACAGTGACCGAGTGAAGCCGGCTACAGTCGAGCGTGTGCCTGCTGTACTACCATATGTCAGAGGTGTCACAGACAAGATTGGCTATATCCTGAAGCGAGCTTCTATTAGAACATTCTACAAGCCGCCGAAGAAGATTAGTCAGTTCCTACCATCCGTCAAGTGTCATATTCCTCTACAAGATGCAGGAGTGTACAAGCTTGATTGTGAATGTGGTCTCTCTTATATAGGACAAACCAAAAGATCAATTAGGACCCGCGTAAAAGAACATATAGCTGATGTGAAGCATCAACGTTCCGGGAAGTCTGCAGTTTGTGATCATATCCTAGACGGCCCCAACCATTACATCAGATTTGATAGACCACAAATCCTCGCGAAAGAACACCGATTCCTACCAAGGATGATACGTGAGGCTATTGAAATTAAAAAAACATCCTAATTTCAATAGAGAAGGAGGCTGGGTACTACCACCTGCTTGGGATCCTATAATCAATAAAATTAAAACTAAACCCAAGCATACCACTGCAAGACCTCAGGACATAGTCAGTTCATTTTGCATAGATCGGACCATAAACAATAATTAAAAAAAGCTGAAGGTACTCCGGGTTTAACAATGACATCGGGACGTCAGTCATCTCAGTCCCCCGTGACCATGGGTGCTGGAAAGCGCCCGAAACGTCGGGAATTAAAAATAAAAAAGTAAAAAATAAACGCGATAAAATCCGTAAAAGTAGTTTTAATCATCATACAAATATATTTACATAATCATGTTTTTGTCAAGTTGTAGGAGCTCAGGAGTCGCTCATAATTCACTAACAAATGAAGTTCGTCTTGCTGGTAATATTGTTTAAAAAAATTGTGCCAATCTATTAATTTTCTATTAACTGCTATTCTTCTTCATCAGCTTGTAAAACTCCACTGCTGGATATAAACCTCTGTCATTAAGAAGGGTTTATGTTTTATCGCTATGCTTTGCCAAGAATTAAAATGCAGATGCATTGTCATCAGTAAAAAAAGGTCTCTGGACACTCACCATACGAAACACGAAACACAGCAGAATTAAGCTGCTATTTTATGCTGGTATTCTGTGAGAGTGTGGTCCTTCCCTAAATATGTTTCTGGGATAAGGAGCTGATAAATCGACATTTTTTGATAAAACTTTCGGGCTTTCTTGGTGTATGTTATGAGCACTATCATTCACACCATAATTATTAATTCGTGATGTGTAGGTATTCATATATGTAACATTAAAAATCTAATATACTTATTGAATTATATTTTTTTTATAATATATTATATATATATATATATATATATATATATATATATATATATATATATATATATATACTATATATAAGCTGGAAGAAATATGGAATAAGCAGTGCCTTTGTACATAATTTTGTTTTTACCATTTTCCTATAAAAGTATTTGTGTATATAAACTGTTAAATAGATAAATAAAAAAATGCTTATACTGCGTTTCTTGCTAGCAATTAGATGAGTCCTGCATTCTAACTTTGAACTATATATGTGACTACTGCATTTTAATCTTGTGTATGATCATTACTGCATTCATACTAACATACCAGATAATACTTTCACGAGGAATGCTGCATTTTTACTTGTTATTTCACCATGTTCTAATCATATAAAAAAAGATCTACATATAAAATATATTTATATGTGGTAGAGCCATGCTGCAGTTATATTAGTAGTATAGTTGTAGCACGAATGGGTCGGCTCGACCGGGGAAGGACCAGGCTCTCACAGAATACCAGCGTGAAATAGTAGCTTAATGCTGCTGTATTTCGTATGGTGAGTGTAGAGAACCGGAGACCCTTTTTACTGGAAACGAGGCATTCCATCTCAGTCCTCACGGGTGACAATGCATCTGCATTTTGATTTTTAATGGAGGATAGATGTAGATGTCTATGGGCCGCAGCAA